AGAACAAAGTGTGTTGTTAGAAGGCAGATAAATTTAAATGAGAAAACGGCCATTAGTGATAAGTTTTAACAATATGCCGAAATTTGAAAAAATCGTAAAAATTTAACTGTGTTCGAATTTAACTTTAAAGAACTTTTGGAGGAGTGAATTCATAGAATCCTCATAAGAGATTTTTTACAGCCTTCAATTTCCGATGCATTGTTTTAAAACGAGTTATAAAATTTCAAAATTGAAAAAAAATGTTTCGTTTGTTATTTGTCTGGAATATAGAAATTCGCGACATCTTAGTCTTTATATTAAGCACGATAGTAACGCTTTCATTTGAAAAGGGATTTTCCAAAAAATTTTCGAATTTTTGAAGCAATCTAATGTGCACACATTCTTAAGTAGGTAAAAAAAAACAAATTCAACCAAATATATGATTAGTCTCGCAATGTTTGACATCACTCCGGAGTTGCAATACATTTTCTGTAGTGTCTCTCCGAAACACTTTTTCTAAATTTGCACCCCGATCAAACGATAGCACCGCTGCTTAGTACCTATCATAAATCAGGAATCAATATTAAAGCAAACATTTAGAGGGCATTTCCGTCCCTTCCACAAACCCCTGGGGAACCAGTGGAAAGTGGTCTTAAATTAGCATTTTGACACCGGAAAAGTAAGTAGCTTTGCGCAGAGCTTCTTCTGCGTAGCCCGCCTTCAGCCGCGCTTAGAGATTATAACCCTTACTACGTAGAATTCTCTTTTCTGTGTTGTTTATGTTACCGGCCAAACCCGATCTTAGGACAAACTAGTTTTGCCTAGGCTAAACTAGATCAGGCTCCATAGTATTTTTGCGTAGAACACCTTTTCGCGTAGGCGGCCTTCGGCCGGGCTCTAAAAAATAACCCTCATCAATCCAGGTACGCGGCCCACTATATTGTTGCGTCCAACTTGTATCTGCGTCGGACGGATGTATCGGAGCTGGAAAGAACTAGTTTAGCCTAGGAAAAAGTAGTTTGTCCTAAGACCGGGTTTGGCCGGTAACATATAAAACATTATTTGTACATATGTGTAACTCCGGCTACGCCATCCCATTATTTTTGGGTAAAACTCACTCAGAAATTCACAAAAATTGCATATTTGAGAACGAATTTATTAAAAAATTAGTGACCGAGAATTTTCAAGTTAAGTTTAAAATAAAGTTTAGACCCTTGTTTAGGTTTAGTGTGTGTAAAAATTATTTGGATCGCGACACCCATTCGGACACAGTAGCCCGAAATCATTTTGCAAATAACTAAAGCCATGTTCTGAACTTTCTTCCTTTCGTCGTGCCGAAATCACGGACTGTCGCGTTTTGAGAGCGAAAAAGGTTAGTGAAAGGATTTTACAATATTAAAACAAAATTGAATGTAATGCCGAATTTCCACTAGGCATTGAAATGACAAAAAATGTATGCCATTTAAAAAAATGCCATGTAGAAATGAACTTAATGATTATTTTTTTAATGTAACGAAACGATTATTTTTTTAATTCCCGACTCTGTCATTTGTAACATATTTGATGTAGAAAAGTTAAGAATCTTAATAATCCGAATCCGATAAAATCTGAAGATGTGTGCATATCTGCCGAAGCAGTAACGTCTGTAGTAACAAAAACGGTGCGGATTCGTTACGACAGAATCGCACAGGTGTGTGGATGTCTTTAACGGCCGGTTGTTCAATGTCTGGTTATCACTACCACTACACTATCGAGGATTTCGACATCATCAGTCGTTGTACTTAACCGGAGCTTCTACCTCCGATTTGTGCTAATCAGACATTGAACAATCGGCCCTAAACCTTGAATTTCATTGTCAAATTTCTTCACACTTTTCCAAACAAAGCCCCACTGTTTGCCAGCCGCAGCGCCATCTTACGACTAATGTCAGACCTAACAAGTGTTCGTTTCAAACGGCAGATGTCGCAACCATAGCTAAACTGTCAGTTGCTTTAACATTTCTTCACTTTTCTGTTTTGATCGTGTGGAATTTCATTATCATTTCATTTTTATATTCGTGTGTGTTTTTCACCGTATTGTGTTCATTGGCGACTGGTTTGAAAGCCGCCGACGTCGCTTTAATTATATCTGTACAAATCAGAAACTTTCCAAAACGCATTTGCATTTCAACAAACGAACTTGGTGCTTTCGGAAGCGCTTCATCAAACATCACCACAAATAATCTACCTGTCGTTACCATTTTGGTTAATAAAAGTTTTCTTCTTGTAATTTTATTAAAATTTCTCAAAATGTCCGGAATTCATTGCAATGGCGAAATGTCGCATAGCTACTTCAAGGCCACTGCCGCCGCAGCTAAAGCATCATGTCAGTCTGGAGCACAAATGCGTCTGGAATAGAGAATGCTTTGGGTGCACAACAACAGCAACAATTCAAGGCAATTCATTGCACTAGCAGTAATAGTATACAGAGTGCTAATGCAGGTAACAGCAGCGGTTCCAGCAACAATCACGCCTGTAATCAACACAGTAAAATCTTAGCCAGTCAAAGCCTCACCGCAATTGGAAGTCTCGCACATCTCCATAATATTAATCATTCGCCGAGCGGCAGCGGCACTACAAGTACTTCGGGAACAGGTTCAGGCAGTACACCACATTTGGGCCAACATTTCCACACTTCTGCACTATCGGCTGCTACCGCAACAATAATTGCCGCCACTGCGGCTTCACTAGCTGGAGGACACTCGAATTCACATATCAATAACAATAATAATAGCGGAAATAACAACAACACTAACAATTCCAACGCTTATCAACGTAATAATAGTATCTCTCAGTACACGCCAACAACTTCCAGAGTAAGTATGGGATCATGTGGTTTTATAAATATGTATCTACTGAACAGCTTTTTGGGGGGGCTAAAAAGCAGGCTTTTAATTGAATATTTAATACAAAAATGCTATTTATTTAAGATATCGAACAAATATGCGATTGTGTGTGTGAACGTGTTGGTCGTCAACAAAAACCACCGGGGACCGAGGCGATTAATGCGCTGCTCGTAAAATGCGGCGCAGTAAAGCGTAACGTTCCACCTGCGCACAAATACGGCTACATACATATCTTTAGATTGTTCATTCGTGCAGGTGATTGCCCTTGGAAACATACAAATGTATTAAATAAATTTAAAAAAAAAAAATCGATTTTGGAACTTTAAAATCGAAATTACTCAAAATGTCTCCTTAACGATCAATTAGAAGGTCTATCGTGGTTGTGAAAAAGGGATTGCGCCATCTTCTTAAAATTAAAATTCCGTTTTGCATATCAGTTTTGA